AAGGCCGGAATCGTCACTGAACTGCCAGCTAACAGCAACGACACTGACTCGGATAATGACGAGAGGGATCCGGGCATGCTGGGACGCCGTGATCGCCCAACTGTTTAACTCGGACACTGAAGATGAAGAATTTGAGGGGTTTGTGGACGAGGAATGAGCTGAAAAAGTGAGTGTATTGTGTTGTATTTTACGTGTTATAACTGAACAATTTTGAGAGTTATTGTGAAAAAGCTAATGTTTGATTTAACGTGTGTGTGTGTGCGTGTGTTGAACACATCCCTGTATCTGCATGAATTGGTGACAGTAAATTGTCCGTACGTGTGAATGGTTGTTCGTCTCTATGTGCTCTGTGATGAACGGGTGACGTGTTCACGGTGGAACCTGTACCTGTTTTTTAATAAAGTTTGACTGACTTATCTGACTGTTTTGTTTCGCTTAATGCGCCTTATATATGAAAAAGTTCGAAAATAGACCGTTCATTGACAGTGTGCCTTATAATCCAGTGCGCCCTATAGTGCGGAAAATACGGTAGTTCTTTCTTTTCCACATTCAAACATAAACAGGCCTCTTAGGTTATATGTACCCTCTCTTAACTTAAATAATTTCTGAATACCAGATGGATGACTTTTGTTAAAGGCTCTGTATATTATTTCCAATATTTTTATATACAATATCTGTGAATTTTAAAGGTATTACTTTGAATAAAGAGTTTGTTGGTTGGTTCGCGATATCCTACTTTATTAATAAGTGTAATAGCTCTTTTTTGTAACTTAATTAACACATCTATGTATGTTTCATTTGCATTTCCCCATATTTCTGAACAGTATGACAGATAAGGCATAACTAAAGCCTTTTTTATTTATTAGATCTTTTGTTTTTTTACAATATTCCGACTGATTTTGCTACCTTGCTTCTAATGTATTCAATATGTGGTTTCCAACTAAATTTATTATCTAGGATCACACCTAAGAATTTGGTTTCATAGACTCTTTCAATTTCAACTCCATTTAACTGTAACTTTGCATTACTGTGAGTCCTATTACCAGAAAATATCATAAATTTAGTTTTATTTTCATTTAAAGATAACTTATTATAGTCAAACCACTTCTTAAACACAGTTAATTCTTTTTCAACTTATTGCAATAATTCATCCATATTTTTTCCATTACAGAAAATTTGTGTTTTCAGCGAACATTATAAATTTCAACATTGTGAATACTATAAAGATGTTGTTTAAATAGAAAATTAATAATTTTGGTCCCAAAACTGAATCTTGAGGAAGACCGCATATTACGTTTCTAATTGTGACTGTGTATTGTTAATTTGTACATACTGAAATCTATTACTTAAATAACTCTTTAACCACTGATGTGTGACCCCATACCATATTGTTAACATTTTTTTCAGCAATAAAGCATGGTCAATAGTGTCAAATGCTTTACGCAAATCAATAAACACACCCACTGTGTTGAGTTTTTGGTCAACTACAGCTGCAACATGTTCAACAAGGATGTGGAGCAGTTGTTCCTAAATCCATATTGGTGCTCACTTAGTACATCGTAGTATTTTTGAAAACTGGGGTAACAGTGATATAGGTCTATAGTTAGTGTTTGCTTATCTCTATAAACTGGAAACACCTTTGCCATTTTCATTTCATCAGGAAAAGTTCCAGTTAAAAAAGATCTATTTCAAATGTAGGTGAAGGGTTTAATAATACAGTGGATGACTTCTTTGATAAGCGCCATATCAATATTATTGCAGTCAGTAGACTTTTTATTTTTAAACTTTCTTACTACTTCTAAAACATCACTGTCACATACTCCTCCAAGAAACATCGTATTAATATTATTAAATGTAGGGCTGATATATTCATTATTAAACTTCCCTTATTATATCCAACGAGGGTTAAATGAAGGGCAACTGGACTTGGTTGAAGCTACTGGAATTATTATATAACACGCAATGTGGGAATTGCGTGTTTAAATAAACAGCTCAGGCAAACACTTGTCTTTCTGTGAATTTTATTCAAGTCTTCTGCAGAAGGACTCAAAACACATACGCCGTGTACATGTATGCTCGAATGAGTGAGGAGAGCTCCGTGAGCCTGTTATTTATCCAGCTTTAGGGTCAATCATATCATCCCACAGAGACACATTGTCCCTGAAGTCTGGATAACACAGAAAACAGAGATATTTTGACTGTTACGTTTACACAGATTCAGTGCCACATCAGAGATGAGGCTCCCTGAGTCCAGGGTTACATGTTTGGAATTCCCATTACACTCATTAGCCAAATTTGGACCAATATTAACAAAATACTGGTTAAAGGCATCAACAGTAGCCTCTTTATTTTCTACTGTTGTGTTATTATGTTTGATACACAATGGGAAGTCTCTGTCTTTATGATTTTTCATTACGTTATTGATGATCCTCCAAGTACCCTTTATATCATGTCTTTATTTTTGCAATAGCTGGTCATAGTAATCCTATTTTTGCTTTCTTAGTACTAATGTTAGTCTATATATATATATATATATATATATATATGTTTTTTTATACTGTTCCTCTTTTTCCTTGGTTGGACACTTAATAAAATCCATATATAGCTTGTTCTTCTTTTTACATGACTTTTCTAAACTCTTTGTCATCCAAGGTGACAACCTATTTTATTGTTTGTTTACATTTTTTCAAAGGACAATGATTATCATAAATTTGTGTAAATATTTACAAGAATGCATTATATGAATCATTAACATCTTTAACATGAACATTTTGCCAGTTATAATTTAATAATTCTATTTTCATAGCTCCAGGTAATTTTAATCTAACTAAATTTAAATTTTGTTTTCCCATTCTTAAATGTTACTAAAAGTCCACTTTTTGTTTTCACATTAGATTTGTTTATGAAAATATTATCAATCAATGAGGCACTATCTTTATTTATCGTTATTTGAGTTGGTTTTAATATTAATGGATAGAAACCTAAACTAAACATAGTATTAACAAATTCTGATATTTTAGTATGCTCATTAGATTTGAATAAATAAATGTTGAAATCTCCACAAACAAAGGTAAACTTTTCATTATGCTTCTCGAGCATCTCTGATATTGTCTTACTAAACTTATGTATACAGGAAGCTGGGGACCGATAAACACAACTTATTAACATATTTTTAGATCTATTGCCCTCAATTTCAACAGATAACCATTCCATCAAATTATCAATAGAAAATGTCATGTTAACAATAACTTTACATTTTAAACCAGACCTTACAAACAATGCAACACCACCTCCCCTTTTATTGTACCTATTCTGGGCAAACATTTGATATCCATCTAAACCATCCAACAGTTCTTTTTCTTCACTGATCCAAGTTTCGGAAATCGCTACCACACTAAATTTCTCCTTGAAGGTTTGCAAGTAACTTTTAATAAAAAAAAAATTACTTTGCATGCTCCTGCTGTTGAAGTGAATCAGTGAAAAAACCCTTTAGCCTGCTCCGGTGGACCATTAAGTTTTATCATTATTTTACAGTTCCTAGTCCGTGTAGCCTGTATTGTTTTCTCCTTCTTCAGAATCCTTGCTTGATGAGCAATCTCTGCATTCTTCTTGGTTAGATGTGCGTTCACAAACATATCTGTGCCCTTTAGTTTTTTTTGCAACTTTTAACAGCTCAATTTTATGTTTTCTACTCACAAATCAGATGATGATATTTGGTCTATTTTTCTGTTTTTGTAAGCTTGCATTCTTTTTTTGTGGGATTGTGTGACAAGCAGCTATAGTTTTGCTGTCCAATTAAATGTCTTTACTGCTGAAAAACTCAATAACTTGCTGCTCAAGTGAGAGTAGTTCACCTGGTGGTGCGTCCTCCCCTTCATTGTCTCCTGCTGTTATCCGTGCATAAGTGCGATGAGTAGTCTCAAGTCCAGATATCACCACATCAACCATTCTTGTGTACTGTTCCAGGTCCTCCACTCTTTTTTCCAGCGCTTCTTCTCATCCTTTTCTTTAATGATCGCTTTCAGTTGTTGCATATCTCCAATCAGACGCATTAGGCTTATCTGTTGCTGATTGTTAGTTGCTGAGACTTCAGGTAATTCAGTAGGCCTTTTGCTGGTTACCCAAGCACATGTTGTAAAAAAGTGCTTAGAAGGTCAAAAACCGCAGAAATAATACTGCAAGTTCAAGCATTACTTAAACATCTATGTGCAGATCATGAACAAACACTTGGATGTCAAGTTGTCTTTGAGATATTCGATAGATTGCAGAGCTGAACTGCACAGCCCTCCTAACCAGCAGCCATCTTGCCCCCATATATATAATATATAATATATATCACCTAATGTGTTTAAACAACTCCTGGCTCTTTTATCACATCATCCTCTCATGTAAGTGTTTTGATATTAGCTTCAGTAACGTTAGCTTCAGTCATTGACAGAGAAAGTTACCTCTCCCACGCTACCTCTGCTTATGGCTCCAGGTGAGTCTTCAGTGCGGTTTCTCATTCATTTCCCCATGACCACTTGGTGAAAACACTGGTCAATGTAAACTTCAAGGTCCTCCAAACACTCATCCTCGAGGTCCTCCAGTGTGGTTTGACTACTATTATTTGTTAATTGGCGGATTATTTATTTTAATGAAATGTTTGTTTAGCTGTGCACTGCCGTGTTTGAATTGCACCAAGTCTCACAAGATTACACAAACGCTTGCCGTGCCATCGCTTTATCACATCAAACAGAACATTGTACAAATATTTCATACGTATACTTTGTAATTACTCATTTTAATGTTGGAAACTTTATGATTTGGACTAGCATTTAAAATAAAGTTTTATTGAACACATGAAATTGTTTTTTTCAGTTTATACAAAGTAGTTGCTGGTTTTCACGGCTCCAATTTAAAATGACACATTATTGATTAAAGAAAAGGCTAAACATACCAAACTTAAAGAGCAGAAACTAAGTGAAATAATTTGTAATAGGAAAAGGTCGACAACTATGGAAGTTTTAATTGGACTTTAATATTTGTAACCCCTACAAATGTGTACAATGATGCGCAAATATTTCACTATCTGCAAATGTGTATTTTTACATTTGTGATGTATAAAATCATATCCACAAAAACACATGGTGATGTGTACTCACAAAACTGTATTTACACATTTGCAGATTACTTCCTGTCAATTTGTGGGTCATGTTACATGTGTAACTTTCTTTTTACACATTTGTGTAATTATGTCCAATGTGTACTGCAGAGATCTGTAAATATATACACAAATAAATTGTACAGATTAAATTGTGTGTATTTGCAAATAACACTGTATTTTTGTGGATATGATTTTACACAACACAAATGTTTTAGGTGGTGACATATTTGTCTATATGTTACAAAAATATCTTTGGTTAATGAGACAGCAGGGGGAGCTGGTGCAGCTGAACAGGTTAAATTCTGAGACTTTCCCCTTTAAGAAATAAACATAATGAATATAACCGTAATCTTTATCTCTAACTGCTTTGTTCTACGGTCACACAGACCTTCATTGGGGATATCTTCAGTTCATCCCCAGTTGTAATGTATGGAAACAGCCTCTCAGTGAAAGTGTGTGTGAAGGTGTGTATGTGTGTGTTAGTATCAGGATCACAGAACGACAGCTTTCCTCTGTTCCAGTCCAGATTCACTCTGATCCTCTGGGGCTTCGTCTGGACTCTTACAGAAGTGACTGGAGCTGGTGGTGACCGTGCTGAGTATTTACCTTTATTGAACCATATTCCCCATAATCCAGACTGTATGAGTCCCTTCCTCTGGACAGACTCTGCTAACACACCCATTTCCCAGTCTGTACTGTTTCCAACATCAACATCCCAGCTGTGAGTCCCTGACTTAAAGCCCTCAGAACCCAGAACAGACCAGTATTTCTCAAACCTCTCGGGATTGTCAGGAAGCTGCTGTCTCTCTCCTCGTCTCACGCTGGTCAGATCTTCAGACAAGATGAGTATTGGATGAGCAGTGTTTGGATCCAGAATCACAGGAGTGTAAGAGACCTCGTCATTGTTCCAGATGTTGAAGGTCAGGTTGCCCAGGTGTTTGGCCTGGTCTATCAGAGCTCCTGAGGGCAGCTGTGGATCATCCAGCAGGGGGCGCTGCTGGACTCTTTCCACTGCAGCTTTGTAGCTGAGCAGGAATGAGACGTCTTCAGCTCTCAGCTCCTCCTCTGTGGCTCTGACTGTGTCTGAAAGAGCTGCTATCTCTCTGCTCAGAGCCTCCATCTTCTCCTTCATCATCTGACTCTTCTGCTCCTCTTCCTCCCTCAGTGCAGCCATCCTGGCCTCCTCTTCCTCATCTAGAAACTGGTGAAGCTTCTTAAACTGCTCCTTAATCTGCCTCTCTGTGTGTCGAGCCTGGACCTTAATGTGTTCTGCTGTTTGATCAAACTTCACTTTAACTTGTTCACAAACCTTTAACTTCTCCTTTAAGGACTCCAGAGTTTCCTGAAGTTCCTTCTTGTGTTGTCGTGCAGCTTCATCGATGGGTCTGAATCTGTGGTTGCTGTGTTTTTCTGAATCTCTGCAGACGACACACACTGGCTGCTGATGGTCTAGACAGAAGAGTTTGAGTTTCTCAGAGTGCAGACTGCAGAGAGCCTCTGAAGCTCTCTGATCTCTCTCCAAAAAGAAGGCCTCACACAGGTTCTTCAACACCAGGTTACAAGGTGGGTCTTCCCTTGAAGATCTTTTCTTACAAACTGGACACTCACGTGCTTGTTTCTGTCTCCACCAGTTCATCAGACAGTCTTTACAGAAGCTGTGGCTACATGACAAAAGAACAGGATCTCTAAAGACGTCCTGACAGACTGGACAACAGAGTTCCTCCACTGACCTGGAAGCCATTTTGTCTCTGAGTGAAGCTGAAAACACAGAAAGGACAATCAGTCCTAGCTCCCCTCCCTTTCACCTTGAATCGTGTTTTTAGTCAAACTCACCTTCAGTGTGTGGAGCGTCAGCAGGTTGAAGCAGCAGTGTTGTAGTTTTCTTATTTTTTCTCCTGTAGCTCAGAAGAAGTCTTTAGCTTGGTCTGAAGGTGAGTCTGATCATCTCTTCTTCAGTCCGCGTGTCTCTCTTGAAGCTAAGTGAAGTGAAGAAGGGGAACAAACTGTTTCCTGGTTTATCTCTGGGTAGGCAGGTGAGGGGTGGAGCTTTTTCAGACCTCCTCTGTTGAATGTTGTCACTTCACATGGGTGTGTCCATTCCAAAGTACTGATTTACTGCTGACAATGTAGACGGATGGTGTTCACTGCTCTTAAAGTACTTAAGAACCCCTTTTTCGTTCCCTTCTCCTTTGACTCAGTTTTCACATCCCTCCCCAAACCCCCTCCTACATCCAAAAGCCACGGACCCCATTCCTCCTTTCATCCATCACCCCTCGAACATTTCCCCATCCCTGCATCATTTCGGCTCACCTCCATACCATGCAATAAACTATTCTAAATCTACATCTTCCCAGACTTGGTCTTTGTCAGTCAAAATCACATTAAACTTCGCCCAGCGTTCATGAGTCTCTTTTATACAATTATCAAAGTAAAAGGCCAATTGTTTAATTTAAACCGTTCTTTTATGTATGCTTATTTTATTTGTCTTTTATAGACACCTTGGTGTGTTACTGGAGAAACAGAAACACGCTGCAACAGTAATCCCACATTCTGGGATTATGTTGTCGATGTCTAAATAACAAACTCTTTTAAATAAGAATATGGGTAGCTTTTTATCAAAGTTTGAGATGAATAGCACAAACAACCACTGAATGAATGTTCAATAAAAAAGTGTTACAACAGACGAGTCTAGCGATGTTACAGGTTCAGCGGTAATGGTGAAAATTTGGAGGATCTAAACCTCCTTTAAACTCCGGGAGCTGGAGAACTAATCTCTCGTTCATAACGCATTCAACTGCTCATCAACATACAGATCAGGAGAATTTTGGAAGGGTGACCATTTCTATCAGGGCCCACCTGGATGTCTCCATTTTACATTAATTTACAGAATATGCATGTTTAAACATTAAGACATTTCATTTTGCCAATTGGACAAAAAGCTCATCATGAATACAAATGTCTAGAAAAAATATAATTTACACTTCTGACAAAGAATGTCCAGATTCTTTGTCATTTTGTATTCTCTGACTAGATGATGCTTTTAAAGCAGGTATCTTTAAACCTTTTTTATTTTATCAAAGTGTCACAGTAGATTTATTTGGAGGTTTTTTGTACTTTCTGGTATCAAAGCTGCAACACCCTCCAAATTATAATGTTGAAACAGTAAGACATCTTTAAAATTACTGGTTGATGCAACATCCTTTAAAGTCTGTTCTTCATTTGTTCAAACGTCTTCTCTTTGTTGGTGCGTCTGATGACTGTCCTCTGTTCCCTTTTGTTGTCTTCTCTTCTTCTGTGGTGCTGCTGGCTCAGTGTTCTTCTTCTGTGGTCCTGTTAGTGTTTAATTCACATTAACAGAACACAATTGAAATGTAAAGTAAATAATGAAAATTCAAACATTAAAAGCATTAATGGTGGGTTTAATTATTCTTCTGTCTGTGAGTATCACAAGCTGCTGTGAGTTTAGTTTCTGATGAATGTTTAAGGGAACTTATTACTGCACTGTAACTGTATTTTATTTTAATTTTATGTAGTAATTTTTTACCAAAGTTGTACATCTGATACAGATTAAGATTATACATAAACATACGTTTATGAAACAAGATTAAACCACTGGTTTCCAGCATTACAGCCTTACAAAGTGTTTGGTTGGCCTTCACAGATGTTCCACTACAAATACAATTCCCCACTAAACTTTTCCGATGATTTCATATATTAAAACTAGCTCCACTTTGAGCAGCTACAACAGTAAAATGCTGCTTTAAAATTGATGCATCAGCATTAACAATCTGTAATATAATAATAATAATTCATATTTTTCTTTTACTTGTGATATTTTGATATAATAATACTTCTGTATTTTTACTTGTAACTACAGTATTCTTAAATTGTTGCATGGTACTTTTACTTAATTAAAACATCTGAGTACTTCTTTCACCACTGTGCATCACAGTGTATTGATACTGTGATCGATCAAACTGAATTAAATGGAATCTAATAGAAGTGTGATCATGTATGATGCATTCATTCTTTTCATTTAATTATTCCACTCATGCAAAATGTGAAATGCAAAAAGGTGAAAGCCAAATATAAACACAGTATATGTGAGTGATACCTTTCTTCTGAGTTTTTCCTTTGGTGGATGTTGTCCTTGCGGGAACAGCTGTCTTCCTTTGTCTTGGTGCTTTCTGTTTCTTGTTGGTCTTCAGCTCCACCTCCACAGGGTAGTGGTCACTCACACCGAGGGTCTTGTAAAGCAATTAAAGAAATATTCTCAATACCCTGGCCCTGGTGTTAAACTGTAGTGATCAACACAAACATGAGTCACCCTTACTTCCTCATCAGTCAGGTTGAACGCTTTCTGGAAGTTGAAAGACTTGGCAGAGCCGGGGACGACGCCGTCCAGCATGGTCTGTCCATACACCACGATCCTGTTGATGCATCACAGTCTTTAACAACAATTTATCAATTACACAAGATAAAAATATGCAATGAGATGTGGCTTACCTGTCGTAGGTGTTGTCATTAAGGTTACTAGACGTTGTGTCGACATCATCAGCTATCAGCCAATGGTAAGGGGCGGAGCAGATGCGGATCGTATCCTTCTTCTTCTTGGAGAGATACCGTCCATCTGCATTAAAGTCCCCTAAAATCATTATGTTCTGCGAAAGAAATAATCTGTATAATAATGTCATGATAGAAACAAATCTTTTCGGGAATTTATTACTTCAATTATTTTATCATAAGTTGTTCTATAGATGCTGATGCTCATTCCTAAAGTTGGCATCCATTAAACACTAACTTAATCGCCCCTGAAAAACTTGTTTTGTTGACCTCCAGTGGTTTGGTGTTAAGTTAAGTTTAAAGTTAAGTCTTTAAATAACAGTACCAGGACTTTTGTACAGTGATTGCCTGTGTGTGTGTGTGTGTGTGTGTGTGTGTGTGTACAGGTGAGGGTCAGAATAACTCATGGTCCTGCAGAGCTGGACAGAAAATAATGTATTATCAGCAAAATGCAATTAAAAGTATCAAATGTACTCATTATTCAGTGTTATTTAATATAGTATATTATATTATTATTTTTTTCACTAACAATTCATAAATGCATTTTAATGTTGTAAATCATCAATTTATAGCCAATTTAAGAAACTTTCTAGACCACTGGCTAGATTAGTAGTTTAGTACTGCATCATATTATTTAAGGATATCACATTTTTTGTGTCAATTGTGTCAAGTAAAATATTTCCCCTTGAAATAATAAAAGTATGTCAAAATTGCAGTCGTACAGTTACTTGAGTAAATGAACATTGAGTTGCATTCGACAGCTGTAGAAACGTGGCTGTGATGAGCAACTTGAGTGTGAGAAAGAGACTGATAGTGTTGCCATGGAAGTCACAGCCTTTCTGATCCCACCCTGCATCCAAGTACGTCACAACAAAATTGCATCCCTGATACACTGAGCTGCTACACAGAAATAGAGCCCAAAATGTGACTCTGAGTTCAGTGTTTTGTAAGAATTTAGGTAAGCAAATCTGTTGTTATAGCAGCAGTGAAAAACATTCTGTTGTAAATTTAACCTGCTTTGAATTTCATTTGAATACCATGAAAAAGGTGTAATCGGAGTCAGGCAGTAAATTCTGAGTCACGAACGCAACAAACTCGTTCCACCCTCACATGTTTGGTTTGTACAGAGTCAAACTATCAAACCTACATCAGTTCCCCACTTCTTCCTGACAGCATCGACCACGTCATGCAGCTCGTCCAGCTCCTTCAACGAGTCCTCTGGCTTGGTGTGTACGGGGATCAGTACCAGGTCTTTCACAACTGGAATAGACAGACACAGTATACAAACAAACGAATGCTTTCAGACAAAAAGATATAATATTTACAGAGATTGTGTGGAGCACCGACCTGTAGTTGGACAGCTGAAGCGCAGAACGAAGGGCTCTCTGGCAAAGGCGTCCACATCTCCAACTTGATTATCTTCATACTGGTAACAATCTGTCAGCTTCACTTCATCCTTTCTGAGACACACACATATGTAACAAGACAGTGATATATTTGTATACGTGTCATGAACTTGCTTTGACAAAGACCATCTGTAATAAAAGCTTAGAGTGCCGTCAACCTCTCTTCAATACATGCTATATCATAACCAGCACCAGAGAACTACATGTGCTGCAAACATATGGCTACACTTCATAATGGCTTTTATTTTCGAGTGAGCTACTGCTTTAGAGGGTAGACAGTGAAGCTGGCTCTCGTACCTGTAGAAACAAACAAACTTCTCCTTGTAGGTGTCTCGTCCCAGCTGGCTGCTGGAGGTCATGGAGTAGGGACGGGTTTGGTTGGAGCTGAGGGGAAACAGAAACAACACCAAAGAAGAGTTCTATAATGTTACATGACGTTTGATTGTGTGTCAGATGTGTAATTACATTTTACTAAGTTTGTGGTTTTAAATACCACAACGACATGGTGGTGGTGACATTTTTTTGCACCAATTTACGGGGGAAATGTCATTTTTATATGAAGGGAAACTATATTCAAATTGTATTGCAGGTTTTCTTATTGTGCAAATACACCTTTCTCAAAGCATTTTAATTTGTTAATTAATATTTCTTGGTGCAAGTTATTTTTCAGAACATTTTTAACAAATGCTTTCAAGTAATGGGGGAAAAAAATCAGCCACTTCAAAATGTGGAGGGGACATTTCCCAGCGCCACCAGTGTAAATGACATCTATCATCATAGTTAATATTTTCTAATTAGCACTAAACACAAAGTACAGCTGAAGAAGAGGGGGATGTCATTGGTTTTGTAGGTATTTATTTAGTCATAAACTTAAGTAAAACTGTTTGACCTGATGATGATTTTAATGAGTTCATGTGTTGAAGTTCCAACTCCCAGACAAACTGAAAGCTATATCATCAGTATTTCCTCTGTTAGATCAAAATGTTTCTGTTAACATTACAGCTACTCAGCCTCTTTATACTTGCTGGCCTGAAATTAAGGCTCTGCCAGACATCATTTAGTTTTTTTTATTCAGGCGTGCTCCTTGTCTGTCATCATGTTTCTTTTACTAACAAATCAACCGCACTTTTTTTCAATTATTTGGGGCTTCATTATAATATTCTAAGTTGTTAAATTGTGGAAAACAGAAATGTTTAACATGTAAGAAAAAAAGAGCTCATGTTTCACAGAGAACTCACCTGTTGAGGTCTTGAAGTAACTTCTCCATGGCCTTACCGCTCTTATCCACCACCTCCAGAATCACCACCACACTGTACTGAGACATGATCTAGAAGCAACACAACATGTTGTTTTAATGCTACGCATTGCACATAGGCCTACTGGGTGAATATGTTGTCATTATCATTAGTGTCCTATCAATAAAGTAATAATCAAGGCGTTACCTTGGTGAGGGTTTTGACGACAGCCTGGTCTGCGGTTTTCTTCATTCCCAGGTTCTTTGCATTGAAAGCAGCTATCTTCATTTTTCACTTCAGGTGATTTGTGATGTTTTACAAGATGAATAAAAGGAAAATGCTGTACAAATTGAAAAAAATATATAGATAGAGGGAGAAAATGGGGAACAGATGCAAAATAAAAAAGAAATTGAGGCATGTGAAACTAAAAAATCAACACTGATAAAAAAACACTGCAGCTGGTTTTGTTGGAAGTGAAAATGTCGGCGTGACACTTTAACAGTAAATCTAATCTAGGTCAGACCTGTGATAATGGCCTCAGCATACAGCAGAGGTGACTTTATTTATAAAGATAAGAGTTGAAGTGAAAAGGGAATCATGCAGAAAACATTTTTGAATATTTGTTTTACAATCAACCTTAATCAAGTTGAGAGGAAGTATTATGCATAATGAGACACTACCTCCACATGCAGGTAGGAACATCATCAGACTTTAAAAGATTTCACTTTAACTTCTGTAAGATCACGATTTATTTAACACGTGTCTTCAAGCAGTTTTTTGTTTTTGATATAGGTATGAAGGGCTGAATGCTTTTTTGAAACCTTAATAATGCTTGGTGGAGGAAGAAGTCCTTAAAAAATACCACAATTTGAAAATACTGCATTACAATAAATACAAGTAGGATTTTAACATCACAGCTAGTCGAGCTGGTGCAAATTTAAACAACTTTATGGGCATTTTCATCTCATATTTTACAAGATAATGGCATGTTTGGTGTTAGCTTCTTAAACCTGTAAAGTAACTAGTAACAACAGCTGTTAAATAAATGTGGTTCAGAGGGAAAAGTACATTTTTCCCTCTGAAATTTAGTACAGTAAAAGAACAAAGTACTTCATACCTAAGTTCCCTTAAAACTGTACATTGTGATGATTAAAAAGAAATACAACAACAAAGAGCAATTCAGTTTCATTTTGCGGTCTTTAAAATGAAACTGAACTGAAAGCAGTTTTTTTTCTGTAAGTACTCGGATTTCCATTCAGTCGAACGCGGACAAAGTTACTAGAGGTTTTATCAAGTGTAAAATACCAAGTAAAAACAAAGATTCAAAAGTACTTTTCAGTCCAGAAAAGTGTAGAAAGTAAAACAAACTCACCAGTCTGTTTGAAGTGGCAGCAGTTCCTATCAGCAGACAGAGTGATACTGAACTCTGCTGACAACAGGGCAACTGAAGAAGCCCTGAGAAACAGGAAGTGTCTCTGTTGGCCACAAAACTGGTATACACACACATCAACACACACACACACACACATGCACAAACACACACACAGCATGCTGCAATCTATAACACACCAAACAGTCGCTTTACGTTATCAAGACATGTAAGTGTTTCCTGCCTGTAAGAGCTGCTGGGCCTTTACCTTAAACACCACAGCACTCTGCTGTCTGCAAACTCTGTAGAAAACAGATTATTTGGCAGTTTATTTGACTATGGCAATGGTTGCCATGCAGGTGCTGCTCTTTCTAACTCAGTGGTGTGTCCAGACTTGTTTGACACACACATCTGAATAGCATCAACCTAGCATTGCCATTTCTTTGTCTACTTTATTTACATTATTAACATTAAATAACATTGCAGCAGCCTATCTTACAGTTTATTACATTCATGTGTTTAAAATTTTAATTCAAAAGATAAATAGATCTAAACAACCGTACATATGTAGACCATATATATATGTTTATTATTCAGTCCTCAAAAATAAATTATGCCTCCAAAAGCAGGTTACATACAAAAGAAAACAATGCAAATGCAGTCACAGTATGAAGCACCAACTTCATGGATTAAAAGAACAAATTAAAATAAGTAAACATGTGTGGACAAAATATTGTATTGAAGTGCAAAACGTCAAATACAATAAAAATCTCTTCAACACGATAAGCCTACTATTATTAGTTACCATCCTGAACATTTAGAACAATTCAACAACAAAGTATTTTGGGAAAATAAAAACGAGGCTCAATTTGCAGCACACATTGTTAACGTTAACTCACTGTGTGTGTATCCAAACGGGAACACTAAAGATATCCCGTTGGTCTCTGAGGCCTAATGGCAAACAGCATGATATGAAGTGTTATTAGTTTAATTCGGCGAACTTAATTTTCACCATTGTAAACAAAAACGTGGCTCACCTTCCGCAGTCTCTCTGTATCCAAGGCAACAGTAGCCTATACTTCCTGCTTCTTGTACGAGTTTATCTGTTCACGCAAGTGAAGATTTTTAACGCGACATTTTACAAAATATTTTATTGAGGGGGAAAAAAACATTGACGTTCAAGCTCATAGGCTATATTCATTAGGCCTGCCTTAAAATCGGTTTGGTCTATAGGCTTATTATTTGATTCAGTCAAGTAACTTCCTGGTTACACACATCGGACAGATTAAAAATTAAATGCGGTCAGTGTTTCTTATTTATGGCTTGAAAATCGGATCAGGTCTATTAGATTTTTGTGCTAAAAAAAACTAGGCCTATATGGCCTACGGTCACCGGAAAAGTAGGTTTTGGATTAAAAAGCAGGGGCTTTAGGAGTAGCATCCACCAGGCCAGGTGTACCGGACCAGGCGGGTGCTGATCGCCCAGGAGGAGAGGACGATACCTGTCAAGGACTCAGGCTGGCCAAGCAACGGGTAATCAGATAACCTCATGAAGTTGGTCGCAGTGAAGCCTCTGGTGTAGGCCTACCGCGACTTTTTCCAGCGCTTCTCCCAGGTTGTCTGTATTTTCTTCCCTTTCCATCTCAGGTTCCTTGGGTTCCTAAATAAACTGCATTACCCAGGGGGCACCACGTTACGCTCACCTGTTCCCCTTCTCGCCAGCTTGCTTTTCTCCCTGTCGGCAGCGTGTCTAAGCAACATTAACCTCACAAAGCCTGGCTCCAAAACGGCGCAAAGAGCAAACCAATAGAGTCAGATGATAACACAACAAAGCTTAAGGTAAAATCCATCCCTACCAGCTGCTAGCGTTTGTGACCCTAAAAGTAGAGAGCATCCAAAGAGAAAATAGCCTACTACAAGGACGGAAGGTCTGCCTCATCGGGTCCTTTTGCTAAAACATGTTCAACTTTTCACGAAGTCGATGCAGTCTTCAATATCACCTTTGTGGAAACCGACCAATAGCTGCCTGGATGGGGCGGGAACACAACATTATCATGACTATCTTGTTGCTGCTGTTTACATTCTCCCAGGCAAAATTTAAATTACTGCAGAATAATTTCCTGCGTGAGCACGTGTATGAATATAGCTTATGGCTATTTTGTATTTTATTCTGTATGTTCCCATATTTTAATGTAGCCTAGCCTATATTTGATTATCTGTTATGTTAGATTTCTGTAGCATGAAGGGATTCATTTCGTTGTACAACCTTATAACATGATAAATGAATTACCTTGATCCTTAATCAAAACTAAAATGTATTCCTTCATGAAGAAATATGCATGTTTGCTTTCTTTCAGAGAGAAGATCATTATAAATTTCACGTGTACACAGCTGTATCTGGACGTTGTCAGTTTTGCATAAAGACTGGAGGCAGGGGGAAACAGCTAGTACCGATACAGCCAAAGTTTGATAATACACCATACACCTCAAAAACATGATGTATCATGTTTGTTTAATCTATAAATGAACAGAAATGTAAAATCTATAAGTGGTTTTATGAGGAGAAACTATGAGCTGCTTTTCAAAAAGTTGTTGTCACTCTGCAGTTTCGACATTTTACTCGAAGTCACTGCTAAACTGTGGAAACAATTACTTCAATATGTGGTTAAAAACTGTACTACAATATGTAAGATCGTATTGTTGCTGATCCCTATTAAGTGTAGGTCATATCCCTGCATCTGTGTTTGATTTTATTAAACAAGCCACATGTCCTAAACTTACAATGGACAGTTTATACCACAAGAGGTAAAAGATATTTGTGTAATTTGAGTAAACCAAGCCTTTAAAAACAGCCATGTTCTCTTTTGAACAACTAAACACAGCAGAGAACTTTTCAATGAAACAGAAACAGTCTTTATATAAAAACAAAGAAAGCACAAAAAAACCTTTCATGATTAGTTTATTTCAGATAATACAAATCCAAAGCCATAAGCAATATGAGGATGATTATAAGTAAGTAGTGATATAATGCTGTATGTGTTTAGGCTAATGTGCTCTGCCATGCATCTGCGTATGTGTCATCATCTTGAGGTTATCGTTGCAGCTGTAGGGACATCCTTCCTTCTCTGACTGTTAGTGGTTAATTTACAAAAAGACAAAAACAAACAGAAAAAACTGTTGAGTCAAGTTTTTTTTTTTTTTTTAGAGAAGCTCAGTCAACATCTGAGACCAGCAGCCATAATTAAAGCTCCTGACTTTGATGACCCCTTGTGGCAGAATTAAAAAACGACAGCATTCACAGGCTGAAACAGACAAACAAGCAGCTTCTTGTATTTGTTTCCCCAAACTTGCGGTTTGGATTATAATTCACAGGCAGTGGTAAAATGTTACTAAGTGCATTTATTCAAGAAAGTACCTACAAATATGAGGTTCTTTCACATTTCATGCCACACAGTATTTCAGTACTACTACCTGTAGTAGCCTAAATATATTTACATACATTTTTGCTGTTAAAACCTGCATGTTTTTGCTTAAACTTGCAATAACTGAATTATGTGTTGACCTCCAGTATTTACAGAGAAACATGATCTCTCTCTCTCTCTTGTAGCTCTGTTTTTAGTCTCCAGCTTATGAGGGAAATACCTAAATGATCCAGCTAATCGCTAATTGAGTCTGTCGGCTGTTTGCTGCTGAGCAGGTCGTGTACTGTGGCTTTTTCAATGCAGAACTTTTACTTGTAATTGAGTACTTTTATAGTGCGGTATTGCTATCTGAATACTTCGTCTACTGCTGATCATAGGTAATATTTTTGTAATGTTGGAAGTGCTGCATTTATGTAGGATCCAGGTGTTGTAGGGAGGTGATCAGGTTGGATGGTCGCCGTACAAAAACACGTGCCTTTGAGGATCGTATCCTCAGTCCTGCATGTGGTTAGTTTTAGTCAACAAAGGCACTTTAGTTAGGTAAGGTTAGTTAGAGTAAGGCTGTGGTTTCGACTACCTGTTTATACAACAAACACTCCTGCTCATTATAAACTTTATATGAATTAAACTAAGACCATGATTTTTTGATGATAAACTCATTGTAGAGTGTCTAAACAGACAAATGACACAGACACAGACACACACGTGAAGGAATCAATTACTGATACAGTTTCGTTAAAATAAAATACTACCGTTCTTCTTGTTGGGTGTCTTCTGGGCTCATCTGTTTGATGTTAATCCTCTTCTTCTTCATCGTCATCGTCATCATCGTCATCATCGTCATCATCCCCGTCCAGCTCCTTCAGCTCCACCTCCACAGGGTAATGGTCACTGATGTCTTGAGTCTGAGAGAAAACAAGTCAAAAATCTCTTTTCAGACCAGTAAGGTGTAAAAATTACTTTAAATGTTTTTTTATTAAAATTTTGTAACTACTCTGAGTCAAAACCTCAATGCAACGTGTCTTACTTTGGCATCAGGCAGATTATAAGCGTTCTGAAAGTCGAAAGACTTTGCTGAGTTGGGAACAACAGCTTTATACATGTCATCACCAAACACGATTGTTGGCAGAAAATGTAGTCACAATCTGATGGCGGCGCTAGATGAAAAGTCATGGGCTCACTAAAGTCATTAAGATTCATCCTCTTAGGATCAGAAATATTGGTACCAAATTTCATCGCAATCCATCCAATAGTTGAATATTTCAGTCTGGACAAAAGTGGTGGACCAACAGAAGAACCGACATTTCAATCCCTAGAAATATTTTATGATGTGTTTCACTGCTGTAAACACTACATAATAAATTCCACTTACTTCTGTTGTGTTGTAAGTTCAGTAAAAGAAACTATATTTCCTCAGTTGACATGAAGTTTAATGTCTTGTAGTTACAAAACAAGATGTAAAGGTACCTGTCATAGGTGTGGTCAGTATTGTCACTTGTCGTGGTGTCGACATCATCGTTTATCAGCCACTGGTACGGAGGAGAGTAAATGAGCAGCTTTTTCTTCTTCTTCTTGGGGAGGTAACGTCCATCTGCATTAAAATCCCCCAAAATCATAATGTTCTGCAGAAAAACATAAACATAATTATCACCACAAACACCATCAGTAACATAAAAGTATAACAGTCAATTGTATTTAAATCCTCCAGAGTCATAAGTCAACAGTTAATATAGGAAATATTCTGGACATTAAGTAATGTATATTATCCACACAGAAGTACAATAACAAACAACTGATTCATTTTGGATCAGATTATCTACCAGATCTGCAGTAATACTGTTTATAGCCAATAGCCATAGCCTCCCCACATCAAGTCTGACATTTGGGTTTGCTCCTATCCGCATACTACCAAACTAAACTCAACGAAAAAGAAACATGCCCTTTTCAGGACACTATACTTTAAAGATAATTCTGTAAAAATCCAAATTACTACAACAAAACAGTAGGTTAGGTTACAGGTCACCAAGGGTCTCTGCTCACTTGCGTGAATGTGCCTTAGGCATGTTGCAAGGAGGCATAAGGACTGCCGACGTTGCCAGGGCAATAAATTAGTATTTCTGTACCATTTAGATGCCTAAAAAAGCGCTACAGGGAGACAGGCAGGACAGCTGATCCGCCTCGCGGTGAAGACCACATGTAACAACACCTAAACATTCTGAAAATTCTTAGAAATTGCTTCACAATTATTTTCTATGTCAAACAAACAAAAAAAATTATATGTAATCTGATGATTATCACACCCCACAGCTCTGCAGAGCTTGTCAGCTTCTTTTAGCTCATCGTTTTGGTTTTATGGCCCACAACTTTATTGTTTGGTTGCCAGCCTGCTCAGCAGTCTCTTCATAATTCCTTTGTTGAAGAGGGAGAGAAATTGTATTTGTGTACTGTGGGGATTGAACACAAATTCCCCTAATTTAGAGGCCTGTGCACTGCTGATTGAGCTTCTAACAATTAGTTTTAAACTATAATTTGACTATGTTCTAGTCGGCATCTAATGGCTTAAACAAAACTGGGCCGATGCCAATTTTACAGTATTTGCCAACCCCTGTTTTAAGGAATGCAAGTTTAAAATGCCAGTAACAGCAAGTAGATTTGTAGTTAACAAATTTTAAAATTTTTGCTACAATACTTTATATTTATTCTATTCTTTCATTATTAACCCACATCAGTGCGCCATTTTGCCTCACATCTTGACCACATCATCCAGAGCGTCCAGCTCTTTTTCCGCATCCTTTGGTTTGGTGTGGACTGGGATCAGCACAAAGTCCTTTACAACTGGAAGCACAAACACACCCAATAAAGCATGGCTTAGCTAGTGGACACACACACACACACACACACACACACACACACACACACACACACATGCATTTGTACTTCTGTTCTTGTGAGGACCTTTATTGACATGAGGCATAGAGCCATACCCTAATATTTAATGACCAACCCTGATCCTAACCTTAACCTAATTCTAACCTTGACCTTAAAACCAACACCTCCAGACAGTCCTTTGAAGTTGTGTGTCCCTAAGTAAAGACCCAGCAAAATGTCTTCACTCCCCCAACATCTAAAACTGAAATTGGTCCTCACAAAGATAGGCGTTCAAGAACACCCCTACCTGTATTTGGACTCTTGAACCACAGAATGAAAGGCTCTCTGGCGAGCACGTCTTTTTTTCCTTCTTTATACTGGTAGCACTTGATCACCTTCAACTCATCCTTTCTGAGATAGAGACACACACACAGTGGCTAGCGAGATAGTTTCACATATATGGACTAGATTGTAATTTTGTTGCTCATAATCTCAATTACTGTATATTATAGTACATCTAATCAAATCGTTCCCAATAATTAGTAACCATATTCAAAGAGACGTCTATTTGAGACACATTCTGAAATATTTGATTGTATTTCACCTATAGGTGGTGCCACAGCAGCATGATCAAATTACAACTACAACTTTTTTTTATGAAATGTTTTATTACGTCAACAGATTTCGAGGATTGTGCAGATTTGGCAGAGGTGAGTCGTGTCAGACATGTGAAAATTAATGACACTGCGATGAACAGATACTGATTTAGTTTTATTTTTTCAGTGGGGGTGATTTATTCACTTCTTACCTGTAGAAGAAGACAAACTTCTCCTTGTAGGATCTTCGTCCCAGAGATCTACTGCACTTCATTTTGAATGGTTGATGTCTGTTCTTTCTGTCCAAAAACACAAACAAATGGAACTGCGACACACAGCTTTTCTTGATAAATGTATGTTAAAGTGTGAATACTCTTTGAAGCATTTAAGTAGTCTCACTTGCATTAGAAAAATAGACCTTTATGACAGCAGCTATTTTGACTTACTCAGTAGCAGCCGGTTTCACAAAGATACACCTTTACTGTAGTTTAGATCTAATCAACAGTCAGACTTCAGATAGATGTGTTAATGCATCTGTTGCACAAAGCTGTCTTCTTCAAAATCTTAAGCAGGACTAAATTTCTATAAGTGATGTCATCTCATTATGTTGGTAGCATCTGCTGCTCAGCTGTTTATCTCCAAAAACGCCCCTGGGAAGCACTGTATCTGTCCATGTGGAGAACTCACCTATCGTTGTTAAGTTCTGTGAGGAACTCGTACATGACCTTGCCACCCTGACCCATCACCTCCAGCAACACCACCACGCTGTACCGAGACACAATCTGCAACAAACAAAGCCAACACACCTCTAGCTCATATAATGAAACAAAGTATGAAAAAAACACCAGCGTTACATATTAGTTTAGAACAGACTTAGAATTGAAAGTGGAAGATGTATAGAGATGAATACAATAGAACAATAAATAAACATGTTTGAAAGAGCAACAAGAACACAATAGAACTTTTTCACAGCAGTAATTTGACTCGTCACAGGAGAAGGAAAAGCCCGGGTGTTACAACATTAATGATGAACTCTGTTCTTTTGACCAGTAAGCCGTGACTGTGAGCCAGTGAGCCAGCATGAACAACACCAGGACCCTGAAACGTGAGCAGCTAAATGGAATTCAGACATCATTTTTTCATTATTTTTAGATTTTCATGCCAAAATGTCTTCAGTGAAAAAGGTTAATAGAAAATGAATACTAATATTTAAGAGACAGAGCCAAATACAGTAATAATAAAATGTGTTTGTAGGAGTAGCATTTTTTTTAAAGATGTCTGTGAAGGTTCTCAGTCATCCAGGTCATAGTTATCCAAAGAAGGTTGAGGTCAAGGGCAACTGGACTTGGTAGAAGATACTAGAAGACATTTTTTCTTCAGTTCTGACTCTTTTAACAACAATACATACTTTTTACAGAAACTGTGCAGGTGTCCCACCAAATCTGAGCTGATGTCACACAGTGTGGTAGTCATATGACAAAACATAGCTCCTTTTTCATTGTATTTTCACACAGTGTGAGCATCACAAAAATATGAAATATAATAAATCAATATACTTAACATCAGGGATTTTATCGCACCCTGATCCAGCACTGTAAGTTACCTTGATAAGATTTGTCCGCACAACATGATTATTGAGTTTGTCCAGTCCCAGTTTCTGGACATTGAAGGCTGCGATCTTCATTTTTCCTAAAAAAAAAACAAAACAATATCCACATAATTTCAGAGATTTAAACAAGACAAGGAGTCTACAGCCATGCTAGCAGCTGTGGGGCCGTACTTATATATTTGTATTTAAGATAAATGCAAACATGAGCATACTAACTGGCTCAGAGTGAGAACAATAGCATGCTGATGCAGGTATGTTTACCATGTCTAACATCTTAGTTTAGTGTGTAAAAATACTAACATTTGCTAATTAGCATTAAACATACAGCTGAACCCACGACCCTGTACGCAGGATAAGCGGTTGACGATGGATGGATATACAGCTGAGGCTGATGGTAATGTCATTTGTTTTGCAGGAATTTGGTCTTAAACCAAAGAAATGAATGTGTTTACCAAATCTTCACTTCAATACCAAAATATATTAACCTCCTGGTGGCGCTAGAGTAAAAGTGAGGAGCTCCGTGGACCACAAATATCTGTACCAAATTTAATTTTAATCAATTAAATAGTCAAATATTTCCGTCTGGACCAAAGTGGTGGACCGACCATCAGGCCAATAAGATAAGATATAGAAGAAAAAAGAAATGGGCCGCAGATGAAAAAGGAAAAATAGGGAAGCCACATCAGTAGTTGACTTTATCCAGCTGTTCAAAGATACAACAAGAATCACATGAAAGTCTTCTATAATATCAGGAAATATTTGGTGGAAAGGAAAAGTACTTCATAGTGAGGAAATAAATTCCTTCTAGTAAACTGACTCATTTCCTGAATAAAAGTCTTGAGGAAAATATTTCCTACTTGTTAGGTTGATTTCGTTTTGTCTTTATCTATTTATATATTAATGTTAACCTTTGCACAACATTTCCCTTAATACACAGAGTAGATGTATAAACATCATACTGTTAATACACATAACATCATTCTCACAGATCTCACACATCTCCCCCAAATCTTCCACCTTCACCCAAGAAGAAATCATTATAATAAACATAATATTATAACAATGTCTTTACATTAGCTACCATATTATATCTCTGAATTACTCTGCTCTTATCAATCTGTACACTGTCTGTGGTTGAAAGGCAGGGAACTGGAAAACAGTGTTAGGGCACTAAAGTACTTATTATTGTTATTTTATACATGTGTTGTCTTATACATACCTACACAGACATACATGTGTGCACATACACTTACACAATACACAGAAATACCATGAAAATAAATCTTTTGCAATTCACATATCCATGCGCAGACCAAGAAAAAAAAACATATGTAGATGTACAAATCTGGAGTATCTGCTAACATGCTCAAACAACCCCACAAAAAAACCTAATGTGTTCATCTTTTTAACATCCCAGTAAATGCACATAAGAAGTCCTGAAGAAAAAAGGAGTGGATTGTGATACTTTCATCATTACAACCTACAAAAAAATTTTTTAATGTCAGTCCAGCAGGTTTCCCGCCAATACATCACTCCATGGAAATCATGCAATAACAGGAAAAGTCAGAGAAATGAAATATCTGCTAGATTAAAACGTATTTTTAGCACTGAAAGCTAGAAGAAAACTAGTACAAACACAAAAATACTCACCAATCTGGTTGAGGTGAGCAAAATCAAATGTTTAAACAGCAGGGAACAGCAGTGTCCACAGACAGATGTGACTAAAACTTCCTGCCAAGAGTCTTATTTAACTGAGAGAGACCGGAAGTGTCTCTGCCAGCCAAGAAGTTGGCGCGCAAACACACAGAGTCGTGTCATAATCAATGTCTGACAGTGAATCCATGCAATATCAACAAAAAAATGTGGTGAGACAAATAATTATTATTCTTTCCTGCCAGTTCTGTAAGCAGTCGTGGAATGTAACTGAGTATGTTTACTCAAACTGTACAAAGATCTGTGTTCAGGTACTTGTACTTACTATACTCTACTACATTTCAGAGGGAAATACATGTATTTAACAGCTAAAGCTCCCAGTTACTGCTGAGATTTTACATAAAAATACTTGACAAAAGCAGCTGGGGCTGCTTGTCATGTTTCTAATCTCTGTGAGATGTTCGGCGTTTCACCAAAAACACATTTCCCCTCTAAACTCAAAAGGTTTCATTACAATATCTGTCAAATTAGGGTCAAATTATCCAATAATTCAGAAAAAAGCAAAACTGACAGTCCAAAACATAAATTTGTGTTGAAGGGCTTTTTCTTTTTCCTCTTCTTAATCATCTCACAGCCCCTCAGAGGGCCACATGAGGGTAGCGACCCATAGGTTGGGAACCTTTAACTTGTAATGGAGCAGGCTTTATTTTTTAGTAAGTGTTTTTTTTATGCAAACTAGTAAATATGGCTGTAAAATAAAAAGAAAGTCAGAAACTACAATATTTATCCTCTCAGATGTAATAGTGTATGAACTAGTCAAATTGAGTCAAAAACTTCTGAAATGGATGAATGTGAGAACAAGACAATTAAATTTAACTTCACTGTATTAAATTACAAAGATTAGATAGATCATGATAAAGAAATGAGTTGGTCATGAATTAAACTGATTATGAGGTTTTACAGTGAGGATGGATGTCTCGTCAGGTGGAAATTGATTTGTTTAAAAAGTGGCGGGAGGAAACCGTCCAACGATTTGAAATTTAATTTCCCTCCTTGCTGCCCACACACACACACACACACACACACACACACACACACACACACACACACACACACACACACACACACACACACACAGAGTTACTGTTACTGCATGTTTCCACGATCTTGCAGGAAGACAGGAAGCTCCTTCCTGGATGTTTGAAACAACAGAAATAATCCTGTTCTCCTTTGTCACAGACACTAATACTGTGACTAGCTGATAAGAGTTATTATCCTAAATGTGTACAATTTTGTTATTTCTGCTAAAGTCGTGCTGACTTGCTCTAATAAAGGAACAATTTCAGTGTATTAATATCATTGACACATGACTGGTAGACAATGTGGAGGTTGTCTAGGTTGCATAAATCTGCCAAATAAACACAGCAGACAGAAAGTACAGTCAGTCACTGCTCCCCTCCCATCTCTACTAACTTTCACTCTGAATGGTGTTTTTAGTCAAACTCACCAGTGTTGAAATGGCAGGTTGAAGCAGCAGTTTTCTACTTTTCTCTCCTGTAACTGAACTTAGAGGAAGTTGTTAGCTTGGTCTGAAGGTGAATGTAAACGTCTGCTTTTCAGTCTGCATCTCTCTGTAGTGAGTAAGGAGAACAAAATGTTTCCTGGTTTGTTTCAGGTGAGTTAGGTGAAGGGTGGAGCTTTGTCAGAACTGTTCTGCTGAATGCTGTACAGGTAAAAGAGGGGCGTGTCATTACATTTACTCAAGTACTGTGTTCAGGCAACACCATATCAATCTACATCTGTCTGAGGCTCAGAAAGGTCAAATTATCCAATAATTCAGGAAAAAGCAACAGTCAAATAAATTTAAATTTGCTTGGCAGGACTTTTGTCTTCTTTACTCTCCCATTAATCATCTCATGACCCCTCGGAGGGTCATATGAGGGTAGCAACCACTAGGTTGGGATCTGTTTACTTGTAATTGAGCATGCTATTTTTAGTTTACAATGTATTTTTTAATCTTAGTCTTTAAAGTAACTAGTAACTATGGCTGTAAAATAAATATAGTGGAGAAAACACACAACACACACTGTTGGGTAACTGCATATGTCCATGATCTTGTAGCAAAACAGTAAGCCCCTCCATGGATGTTTGATAATAATAATAATAAGAATATATTTTATTCATAAAGCACTTTAAAAAGGTTCTCAAAAGCACTTTACATGGTAAAAAAGACAATAAAAACATCATCATAAAAACAACTAGAGCTAATTATTAAAAAGGTGAAGTAAAACAGCATAAAACATAAAATAAGCAGGTTGTAAGTGATGTGACACGTCTGAGGTGATGAGGGAGAGCTTTCCAGAGGAAGGGGGCAGCGATGGAGAAGGCCCTGTCCCCCAGGTTCAGTACTTGGGGCAAGTGAGAGGAGAAAGGAGGTTGGAATCTGTGGATCTGAGGTTGCGGGTGGAAGTGACGTTGTAGGAGGTCGGTGAGGTAGGAGGGGGTGAGGTTACAGAGAGCTTTGTAGGTGATGAGGAGGATTTTAAACTGGATTCTGTGTTGAGAGGGAGCCAGTGGTTTTGGAGGACTGGACTGATGTCATCTCTTGTGCTGAAGTGAGCATTAAAGCCCCTGACCAGTATTTTAACAAGACAGCAGGCCGGAGCTGAAATGGCTGCTTACAGTAATCATTGTCATTAAAGACCTAATGATATAAGGTTTTACAGAAACCATTATTGCGTGCATTATGTAGGCTACTTCTACTTTATATAGGCCTACTGTAAGTACACACCAACATGATCATTCATTAAGAGTTGTGTTTGTGTCACCTGATGAATGCAATATATATAGTCTGCTGAGCAGTTTGTGTACATGAGTTGTAGGGACTTCATATGGTTGGCTTACAACAATGGAAGACTTTGAGGCTCATATGCTGAGTCCTGCATGTGGTTATGTTCAGTCAACAAAAGAAACTTTGGTTAAGGTCAGAATAAGATTATGGTTAACTGTATGGTAACTGTTAATACAGAACACGCTCTTGCTTCAAGTCACTTCCGACTTTTAATTTATTAATGCAACAAAGCAAATTATGTGTTTCCCACATAGTGCAGATGAAAGAATGAATTAATAATAGTAGGGGATAGCGGGGTATGTTGTCACACTTTTCACACTGTCTAACATTTACTGGACACCGTACATCTACATGGCACAAATTTCATACCAAATCAAAGAATGAAGTATTGGGCACATATTTTGTATTCATCACATCTTCATATCTTATCTCATTATGGAGTTGTAGACTGTTGAACCGAGAGTGTGCACTTGTGACAGTTTGCCCCATCAGCAGGTAAATTGTCACACTGTATTATCAAACAATAACAATACAACTACTTAATTGTGAATATTAATTTAATATATAAATTAAAAATTCATAGAAGAACTAAAAGTAAAAACAATCATGACTAGAGAATCTGGAAATCGGTCCTTTCAATAAAATTAAAAATTCATAGAAGAACTAAAAGTAAAAACAATCCTGACTAGAGAATCTGGAAATCGGTCCTTTCAATCAAAACTAAAATGCTAGCAGAGCACACAGTGGCCACCTTACTTTAAAATCATTCTCTGGAGTGCAAATAGATCTATGGTAATTGAATGGAATACTGCAAATAACTTGCATAAATGTTTAAAGGGGACCTATTATGCTTTTCTGTATTTTCTATCATATCTATTATGTTGCTCTACAATGTCAGATGTTCATCTTAAATGCGGCCAACCTTCAAAAAAATTAGGTAAACATATTAAAAGAAATCCCTGTGAGCCAAAACCTCTGATTTCCCATTGCTCTGAATGCTTTGGTTTTTCTGTTTCTTCTACTCTCAGTTACTTATGATGTCCTACAGAGCCGATTTTTCATATATGGTCATTTGTACACTCCTCCTGGCAACTGCTACGCTCAGTCTGTCTATACGGATCACCCTAAATAACCCATTATTTCCCAAATATATATATATTTTTCCAGTTTCATTGCGCTGTGTTTGTTGCCATCTTGGGCCATAGTCTGTATTTTTTTTTAAAGTCTCGCACACAGAAATGGCTAGCGATGTGTCAGCGCAGGATGACACATGCTTTCATGCAAATCATTCAAAGCTAGAACTACATTATAGCGCTGGAAATTCAGTATAATAGGTCTCCTTTAACTTCTTAACAAAACAGATGTGGTGTTTAAACACTAATGCAACTAATGTGCATTTTTGTACGAGGGATATCTGTGTCTGTGAAAGCATCATGGGCCCATTTGTTGCATTTCACACACTTCACCCACATACTGTCTGAAATTGTGTTGATAATTTCTAACAATCTTAATTTCTTCCTAATTACACATTTCCTAATTACAATTACAAATAAATTTAATATATTATTTAATAATATTTTTAATTATTTGTCTACGATCCTTGTTGCCTAACTAAATTAATGACTGTATGAAGTAGTCACCTGTGACGACTTGCCCCAAAGTCATTGAGACAACATGCCCCAAACTGACGTGTGCTAATGTTGGCTAAATCTCAGGGTTAGCTTAACATAGCACTTCAGCTGAAATATCAAATTGTTGTCTCCTCTAAATTGTGCAAAATTAAAATTTTAACATTCATACCTAACAAAGTTGTATTACATAAAATGTAAAGTGCAAATGTTTTATTTTTGAAGCAAAAAATTGACCATAGAACAAGAAGTCAGTAAGTATGAGCAGTGTGACAACTTACACGAGACAACTTACCCCGCTCTCCACTAAAGTTAAAACAGTGAATAATCCTCCTCCTCCTCCTCCTCCTCCTCCTCCTCCTCCTCCTCCTCCTCCAGCTCTTCCTCCTCCTCCTCCTCCTCCTCCTCCTCCTCCTCCTCCTCCTCCTCCTCCTCCTCCTCCAGCTCTTCCTCTTCTTGATCCTCTTTCACCTCCTCCTTCAGCTCCACCTCCACAGGGTAATGGTCACTGATGGCTTGAGTCTGAAAGAAAAAAGTCACAAATGTATTTGCAGAACATCAAGGTGGAGAAATTACGTTATTATATGAGTGTGTTATAAATGATCTCAGTCCAAAAGCTCATGTAAATTCCCAGACAGTCTTACTCTATGACTAGAAAGGTCATAGGCTTCCTGGAAGTTGAAAGGCTGGGCTGAGTTGGGCACAACCGCATCATACATGTGATCACCAAACACCAAATCCTGTTGGTAGAAAATACAGTATCAGGAATTTATTTGTAAATGTCGAATTGTAAAATGTCAGGGGTCAGTTCACCTAATAAATAAGTATTTTCTACCTGACACTGTACCTCTAGTAGCCATGCTGAAATGTCTGAGGTGACTGACTTGCATCATTACCAGGCAGGTAGAAAGACATTTGCTTATGGTGCTCACATTAAGGAAAAATTAACTGCAGAGTAATGAGCCCAATATGGCTTGGTGCACTATAGATGACACAGCACAAATCATAAATGGACAAGATTTGGCTTTAATTGTCCTTATACTATACAATATTGTACAATAAAATTCAGTTACAGCCCCCTCCACGCTACACACACAAAACATTTATTGAAAAAAATTTATATAAGAATAGAATAAAATAAAACAGAACAAAGTAAAAGTAGCACTAAAGGGGAGGGAATAAGGAAAACTAAATTATATTTACAAGATATACCTATAGACATTTACACAGAAAAAAGTTGTTTACCCTGGAAATGACAGTTATGTTATTGCTAAGGTGAGATTTATCATCAGAAGTGTTTTAAAAAAGTATGTTTCGGTTTTGCAAAAAAAAAAGAAGATTTAACGCATGTACGATTTAGTTCTTCACCAAAAAGCAGCGCAGAGCCGCTTCCCTACATTTTTCCCTGAACCAGCCAAACAGGGCTTCGGATTATGTAGCTAATGGGGACACCGTTTCTGAAAAAGAGTCTACAGCCAGCTTTATGTGGTTGTAGTCAACGCAGTGATGTACAGTATGTGTAACTGGCTTGCGACCTTGGGTATGGGAAGCAGACATGCATACGAGGAGGCTAAAACACATGGGCGTCTGTTGCTATAGCACATCTCTTAAGGTTTCAAAGAGTGAGGTTCATCCTGAAGGGGATGTGAGTGGCAATTATTTCATGACATGCCATCTAGTAGTTGTAGGGATATTTCAGTCTGGACCAAAGTGGCAGACTGACCAACATTTTCTTGCCTAGAAATATTTTCCTTTCACCTCTACTCAATTTTAGTTGAGGCAGATATTTTAGTAAAATAAACTGTAGTTCCCCAATTAAAAACATAAAAATACAGATCAAGATTTAAAAATACCTGTCATAGGTGTGGTCAGTTTTTTCACTGGTTGTGGTTTTGACACCATCTTTTATCAGCCAATGATACGGAGAGTGGCAGATGCATAACTTTTTCTTCTTCCTCTTGGAGAGGTAAGGCTTATCTGCATTAAAATCCCCCAAAATCATAATGTTCTGCAGAAAAACCATAAACATCATCAGTAACAACACAAGTATAACAACCAATATTCCTCCAGAGTCATACAGTAACAAGTAATATAGAAAATATTCTGGGCAATAAACCAATCAGACCATAACGACTGTCCTTACAACAACCAGGAGCACTAGTGAACCAGCGGTATCGATCATCAATATACATATATATCAGCAGACGGACACATTTAGAGACAAGCTGGCGAGCATAGTGGAGCATTAACAGCTAAGGAGTCATATTTCCCTCAGGAGCTGGTGGAGACCAAAAACAGAGCTAAAAGAGAGAGAATAATCGACACAACCACGACTCCAAATGAATGTTTCTCCGTGTTGCTGTGTAAATAAGCAACTGTTCATCATAACATTACAAGGTGATAATACGCCAATGTTGTGTTTACAGCTTGTTTGGCTTTGTCCATTTGTCCATACTGTTTTAGTCTACAATTAAAAATATGTAATGCTAACTATAAACATGGCCACCTCTTCTGTGAAAGCCTTTAAGGGATGTAAGTAGGGTGACCAGATGAGAATAGGTGAAATTTGGCACAGAGTTTTTTATTTATTTTTACATACAATTTATTTATTTTTATTAATTTTATCAGTGCGGTGCCTGTCTCATCTGTCTGCGCAATGTGTGTGTGTCAGACAGCGGCCGCCTGCAGCTACATCTACACTAGAGAACAAAAAAAGTAGAAAGTGTTACTTTGTGGCTTTAACAATGCTGTTGACACAACGTACAGATGCCCTGTAGCCCCTGCTGTAGCTTGAGAACCACACAACGATCAATATAGTCTGATTTTCGGGACAAACAGAACAGGAGTCGGGTGATCTGCTCGCAATTCGGGTTTGTCCCGAATGTTTTTCGGGACGTCTGGTCAGTCTAGAGATAGACCTAAGTGTAAAATGCCAGTAACAGAAAGAAGTTTTGCAGTTCAAAAAGAACAATTTCATGAATTATTCCACTCAGACCCACCGAGTAACAACTATAACCATACTTTATATTTATTCTGTTCATTACCAACCCACATTAGTGTATTTTTGCCTCACAGCTTCGACCACATCATCCAGAGCGTCCAGCTCTCTCGGCGTATTCTCTGGTTGGGTGTGGACTGGGATTAGCACCAAGTCCTGCACAACTGGAAGCACAAACACACCCAATAAGGTATGGCTTAATAGGAGGACACACACATACAGTATGCATTTGCATTTCTACACTTATGAGGAACCTAACTGACATACAAAATTTCCTAGAACCTAAAAGTAGCCTACCTGTTTTTGGACAGTTGAACCACAGAATAAACGGATTTCTGGCGAAGACATCTTCATAATCTTCATACTGGTAGGAGTCGATAATCCTGACCTCATGCTCTCTGTTAAGCACATACAGACACACAGATGCATGCACACATATCACAAACATTATGTACAGACAGACATTACTTTTTTCATTTTGAAACTACTGATTACCTCCTTATGTTTGTTAATTTTATTTATCTGTTTGTTTAATAGTTAGCAGGGTATCTCTTTTATCTTTTTATAACTTATATTTAAAGGTTCAGTGTGTAATATTTCTGAGGATCCATCGACAGAAATGCAACATAAGATCCATAACTATGTTTTCAGTGGTGTGTAAAAACCTTTCATAATAAACCATTATGTTTTTATTACCTTAGAATGAACCATTTATATCTACATAACGTCGGCACATTGCATTGTCATGTTTCTATAGTAGCTGAAAACAGAAAGACAGCGCTACAGAGCGCACTTTTTTTCTTGTTCTACTGACCTGCATCAACATTACTTGGTTAGTTCAGTCGTTAAGATGCAGGACTTGCAACCCAAGGGTTGAGTGTTGGATTCCAACTCAGGACAACAATTTTTTTTTCTGTCTTCAACAATTGGATTCTGCAGCGAATGTTTCTCAGATCACGGCATGTGCTGCAGTGTTTTTGTTTCGGTGTTTGATCCTCATCCACTAACCTACGGACGCCTTTGCATTTCGCCAGTGTCTCCAGGCAGAGGACATTTAGGGGAATCATGTTTTCTGACAGCTCTTTAAGAGGTGTGTCAAGCAGGCTACAGACTCCTTTAATGTCGTTCATAATTTTTCAAAGTAAAAGCTCAATTCAACTCCAAATACTGCATTGCAGTAAACAAGCTTCTTGCGCTTTTATTTTGCTAAAGAGGGAGTGATTATGTGAGTAACTGAGTTGCTGTCATATCTGAGATCTTTTTCAGCACTGCTATCAAAGTATTTATTTATTTATATTTTTTGCCGCTATCAAAGCACCATAATCTGGCCGCGGGTCAGATATTATTGTTGGCAGGTAGTTATGGCGATGGTCCACAATCACAGAGAGAATCAATGTTTCCCTTGTTAGTGTTTATATAAACTTTATTTAATGTGTGCTTTACAATGGACTGTGGTGCAGAAACAGTGTTTCACACTCTTGGCTTACATTTTCCATTTTATCTGTCAGGGGCCAAGTCACAATAATATATGGTTTTACTGAATAATTAAGTAAATATAATACATAATAATAATATAGTACGCTGAAAATGTTGCACACTTTTATGTGTTTGCCTGATTTTTAAATCCTGTAGGCCCTACAGAGTGAAGGAGAGGTAAATGTCAATATATATTTGTCAATAATCAATACACTATTATTGGTCAAAACAGCATCATTGAGCAAAAACTAAAATAAGTAGTTTGTAATAACATGATTGCATTCATCTGACTTCATGTGGTCTATGTACCATCATAAGTTAAGAAAACTTTCAACAATGTTAACAACAGCGTAGGTGTTGATGCTTGTTTGTTTACTGTTTTCTTATTCTCTAATAATGCAGATTTGCCATGATATTTCTCTCGCTTCCAGGCTTCCCCGGTAACCCCCGTGTTTCACGTCATACCGCTATGAACTTTGGGCAATTCCCTCAGCCAAAGTCTGCAGAACTTAGGGGCACATTGGGATTGGGCCCTAGACTGGACAGATGGTTGCAATTCACAACCCTCGCCACTAGATGCCACTAAATCTTACACACTGAACCATTAAGATACAGTACATGGCCAGTATGAGGTGTTTGGTCCAATAGCACCACCATGAGGTCATTTTTAAAACACTTTAGGTTTTGTCTCATAACTCCTGAACCAAAGGGGAGAAAAGAACGTTGGTTCAAATCAGAATCACCCTAAACCAACAAAAACTAAACATTTTTGGATGAGAATATTTGAATAAAATCACAGTTTTCCTATAATTAGTAACCAAATTCATGTAGACATGAACTATTTGAGACACACGTGCACTTATCAACTCAAATGTGATGGAATTTCACCAAGCGGGAAGCTTCCGGTCAGAGAACTGAGACAAACATGGAAGTTTCCTAAAACCTGCATTCTATCGAACGACCATCAGGTTTGTTTGCAAAAAGAAGTCGGGTTCCATTAGAAATAATGGTAAAATGAGGCTACTTCTCAGCTATTTATTACCTCAGTAAACAGTTTCATAATGAGTTTATGATCTCAATCGCGAGTTTCAAGTCTTCATTTAGTATGTTATAGTCCCATTTATGTTAAAATAGACCATAAAGCAGAGTATGTTTCAGTTGTACCTAAGCAAGCTAGCTACCTCTGCACATGGCTGTTAGCTCCACCGTCCCGTCCAAATATGGTCACGTCTGGTGCCACTGGTTGCAAAAACTCAACATGGCGGCACCCTATCAGCCAAACTCTATATACAGCCTATGCATTTCACCTATAGGTGGCACTACAGCAACATAACTCACTTGAAATTTTGCACAACTATTCATTTTGATGCAGACACAGAGGCAAGCAGGTTAAAAATATTTAATGAATCAAAGAGATTTAGATAACTGTGCAGCTGTGACAGCGTGGCTGGTATTGGTTTCCCGTGTGTGTTGTGTGTGTGTGGGGGATGTTTCTTATTATATGTCTGTCTGACCAGGTGTGCCGCTTCGGCTCCACTGGCCCCCCTCATATGCAATAATATCTGATATTTCACATTAGGTAATGTTAATTTAAGTCAAAATTAGGTATTTTCAGAATCAACCAACCAACTGCTTTTGACTGTCAGTCACTGCTTCTCATGACTACTGAGTGCTAGTGGGTTATGACATCAACATGTTGATGAGCCATGTGGCTTGTGTGATCCATGGTCTCTAGTTTGGAGATTTTGGACATTTGTGAAACTTCATGACACTGTGATGAGCAGATAAAGACATTGAGTTATCCATTTCATACCTGTAGAAGTAGGCAAACCTCTCCTTGTGGGATGTTCGTCCCAGAGATTCACTGCACAGCATGCAGAATGGATTACCTTTGTTCTTTCTGTCAAACAACACAAACAAATGAAACTGAAACACACAGTTTAATCATTGAATCGTTGGTTAATTTTGGAGCTTTGTGTGCGTGAAGAGGTCCAATAGTGTTTAATTTTAAGTTTTTAGTCACATCATTCATACTGCTGCGAATGGGTGGTGATGGCGCTGTGGATAAGAGACATGCCTTTGTTGTAAGAAACCCGGGTTCAAATCCCCACTCTGACACATCCACCAATATGTCCCTAAGCAAGACACTTTACCCCTGGATAAGGAGGTTTGTGACATACTTAGCAATTGTAAGTCACTTTGGATAAGAGTGTTAGCTAAATATAAATGTAATGATATTCTGCAGTTTATTGAAAAGCTAGATTTAATCCGTATAGGGACAAAGTCCAGGTCTGCTCTGCCAGTCTCTGTAACTCTCATTATTCTCTAATTTCTGTCATCAACATTTCTCCGTTTGAGTTTAAACATGTTGATAATTTCAACAAAGACTAAAACTCACCGGATGCATTATTGATGAACAAAAAGAAAATAATCACCAAATAACATGCGCAATAAAGCCTTTTTTTAAATGAATTGTTATGACAATGTGTTTAAGATAAGACTGAAGTTATTGTTTTTGGAGCCAAGGAAGAACGATTTAAAGTTAGTGCTCAGCTTCAATCTGTAATGTTAAGATCCAGAAATCAAGCCAGAAATCTTGGTGTAGTCATGGACTCAGATCTGAATTTGAGGAGCCACATTAAGACAGTTACAAAGTCAGTCTACTATCACCTGAAGAATATATCAAGGATTAAACGACTTATGTCTCAGCAAGACCTGGAAAAGCTTATCCATGCATTTATCTTCAGTCGACTTGACTACTGTAACGGTGTCCTTACAGGGCTCCCTAAGAAATCCATCAGACAGCTGCAGCTGATTCAGAACGCTGCTGCTGAGTCCTCACTAAGACCAAAAAGGTGGATCACATCACTCCAGTTCTGAGGTCTTTACATTGGCTTCCTATGTCAAAGAATTGATTTCAAAATCCTGCTGTTAGTTTATAAAGCACTAAATGGTTTAGGGCCAAAATACATTTCTGATCTTCTGCTTCGTTATGAACATCCAGACCTCTCAGGTCGTCTGGGGCAGGTCTGCTTTCTGTCTCCAGAGTCAAAACTAAACAAGGAGAAGCAGCGTTCAGTTATTATGCTCCGTATATCTGCAAAAAACTCCCAGACAACTGCAGGTCTGCTGAAACTGTCAGTTCTTTTAAATTAAGACTGAAGACTTTTCTTTTTACCACTGCCTTTAATTAAATATTTAAGATTTTTCTTTTTACCACTGTCTTTAACTAGTAGACTGATAACTTATACTGCACTGTAACATTTACTGTCCTGTTTTCTTTTTCTTTGTTTTTAGCTTTTTACCATTGCTTTTAATTAAATATTTACACGGTGAGAAATGAGTAGGTAACTGAGTGAAAAGATAAGGAGAGTGGTCTTAAATCTCACGCCTGAGTGATTTGCAAGAACATCTGTCCACCTGTAAACATGCAGGTGGGTGCAGAGTATAACTGGATAAAAAGTGGCCTGCTGACAGACATGTCCTGGTGTCTCTGTAGTGTCCGAGGGTTTTGGGAGTTTCAGTGGACCCAAAAATTGCTATGGACCCGAGTACAGACTGGCTAGAGAGAGTAGATTAAGTGTACTTCTCTGTTTATTCTCTTTTCAAAATAATTGTAACTCAATTATTTGCTCAGCCTGTTTTTATTTTCCATTTAACTTTTTAACCATGATTGCACACTGCACTGTAACTTTTATTATTTTAATGTGTATTTTTTCAATTTCCCTATGTTGCTTTTAAACTTTTTTATATTTCCCTGTTGCTTTTATGTTTATGTAAAGCACTTTGAATTAACTTGTTGAAATGTGCTATACAAATATACTTGCCTTGCTTTGCCTAAAGTGTGAATACATTTGGATACATTTAAAGCAACAGTATGGCAATTTCTTTATATAACTAACAAGCTCAAAATCCTTCTGATGGTGCATGACTTCCAATAGGGTGAATGACGCACTGTTATTGCTGCTTGTTGACAGAGGAAGTCAACAATTC